TATTGTTAAAGTGTTACAGTTTACTTCCAGAGTAGGACATTTGTTTCTAATCAGCAACATGCATCTAATCAAACAGCAAGCATGGACAATTTTTCTCACCAGTTTTCGGTTTGCATGTTATTTTCTTGACTTTCTGATACATTTCTGAGTCCAGTGCAGATCGGCCAGCATCAGAAGTTTTGGCAGTTGGGTTAGAGCCAGGGTTGGCAGAGACCTCAACAATGGCACTCTCACTGACACAAGAAGCTGTAGAGAAGAGATGACAAAAAGCTGCTGAAGATCAAAACCTCCATGGATGTTCTGGAGATAAAGATGTGGCTCACTGTTCTCTCACAGAATAAGAGTCATCTATTAAGCTTCTATAGATCTGGTAGGAACCACAGTATCTACTAACAATTTGCTGTCAGCACCGGCCTAATTAGAATTACAATTTAATACACCTAGATGCATTTTCTTTTTTAAGTTTTGGTTCTTCTTATCTAAATTTTCAACTTATCTAAGTGAAATAATTTTATTTACGGAAGCACAGTCTTTTTTTGTCCTCTTTTTGTTTATTGTAAGCAATATATTGTTAGTTTTGTAATTTTGTATTTTCTTCTAAGATATTTTGTAATTAAATTTCACCTTATTTTGTTGTGAAACGATATATTTTTGAATAGTATATGAATCTTAAGAAAGAATAACAACATTCATAATAATTATAATAAAAGTTTAGGTTTTAGATGTGTGAAAATACAAAGTTGTCGAAAAATTGTTCCTGGATACAAGTTCTATGGCTATTTCACACAGGGAGCGTTATCACAGATCCTTCCTTCCNACTTTATAACCATCAATGTTCCCAACAACCTCAATTAATTTTTACATTCATGCTTATTTCTACCTTAGTCCGTTAAAAAACATGCTGCTGTCATTTTGCACATCTCTGATGTTGCCGCTATTTTCAAATATCCATTACTGTAAAAATGCCAATAGTTGTATATTGGTTATTTATTCTCCAGGTGCACAGTATTTATATTGTGAAAAAAACTTTACAGTATTTTATAGTATATATTTTAACTCTTCACTATTATGTTATTCTTATCATTTTTTCTAAGGTCCATATTTGATTGACCATATTTTCTATAATCTTTTTGCAACTGGAAACATCAGAATTTCCCCATTGTGGGACAATAAAGGGATTTTCTATTCTAGTCATTTCAGGTAGTTAAAATTAGAAATCAGACTTTTTTTTATGAGGAATCTAAGGGGAAAGGATTCTCAGATATGGAACTTCCAGATTATCATTAAAACATATTACAATTCCATGTTCACAGAAAGTCGTAACAGATGATTTTAGAATTCACTTTGTATTTATCACCAAATTCCAGATTAAAATAAAAATAAATAAAAGCATCACTATGTTTCTTTTACTTTGAAAGCTCCAAGCCTGCGCAACTTCCGGCAGGGCCGAGCGAAATTCGTGGCTGCCACTTCCGTTGTTGCTTTAGCCTCATCTGAAACTCACCATAGCTTAATATCATCCATAAAGATGAGTGATACAGTTCCTCTGTCACTGGTTCATCCATCTCTATTTAATGAAATCATTGTGGACTTATCATTGTTGAAGAAGAGGGAAAAAGGAAATTTTTCAGAATCTTGCTCAGTCCAATCATATATAGAAAATAAATATTTTGGTTATGTTCAAGTGATGCATCTAAAAGCCTAAGTAACAACAATGGGGTGTCATTTGTCGTCCCACAATTTAATATT